ATCTTCTGCTCAATTGAATGTTAAGGAATAAAATTGATCTCTTGTTTCATTCAGAGATCAAATAATTTTATATAAAAAACGAAACTATGTTGCCTTATTTAATCGCGACAATATTGCAGGGTAATTGTTATATACTGTTAAATTTATATTTCTAACAATTTTTATCTTTATATCTTGCATGAAAATAATTCAGATTTATTGAATTTGACTTCAAATGTACAGACCTTGTTAATCTATATTACTGAAATAAATTAGCAGTAACTGTTCATTCAGCATTAAATTGTGTCTTTTAACATCATTGTATCATATAAAATCAACATACGTGCATATAGCTCTTAAATGACTTGTTTACTTTCAGTAAACACATTCAGGAGGAATGCTGTATGTGATTTTCCTCTAAAATATATTTTTTTTCTATCTCAACATTGGTTTATCTATTCCAATTCAATCCAAGTATATTACGTGCCTGACAAATAAAAAAAGCATTAAATATGAACGGTATTAATATACTATGACAATTAGACCGAGGATATTCATGCCAATATAATTTTATGGATTACTTTTTAATCATTGAAATCGGCAACAACTTCCTTATTCTGTTGAAAATATTTTAGTATAGTTCGAAGAAAATAGAACTCATATTAAATATATTAATCAAAATTATAAATGCATAAAATCTGTAGTCTAATAATATTGTAAAACTTAAATACTTAGAACAACTTACTGTAATAAAAACACCACTGGCAGCTTCGGTAGCACGATTTAGAGCTTGTTCTGGTAAAGCCATGTCAGAAGTTGTTGTAAGAATAGAATGAATTTGTGTTGCATCTTTTATCCGTCTTTCCAAGAAACTCCAAGTTTGTTTATGATCTTCACTATTATCTTGTAGCATATACAACTCGGTAGTCTTATATATGCCTGCCAGTACTATTCTTCTAGTATACCAATTAATCTAATCGGACAGATTTTTTCTGTGAGTACTTTTAAATACAAAATACATTACAGTTACGTAAAATTACTCTTACATCAACTGATCTGTCACCGGTATAATAACAAATATCATCAACTAAAGTGAGCAAATTAGCCAATGACATAGGAACATTAGGAGGAAGTGTCATAAGTGCTAAAGCTTGAGGCCAAGTTTTCTTGTAAGGGATCACCATTCTAAGTCTCGTTTGGACAGCATCTTGTACTTGAGATTCCAATGTTTTTTTTTCTTTGGTGGTATTTGCTTCGATAGCAAGAGCTTGTTCCTTAAGCACTTTATTCAACTCATTATTACATGTCAAGTAAAAATATTGAACTAAATCTGCCCCGTGATTAGGAAATAATCCATGAATCACACTGGGATATCCAATAGATTCGGCACCTTTGGTATACAATTTTTCATTAAACACATTTATTAATCAAGCTGAGTGCTCAGAGCATGAAATCAAAACTAAAATCTCGAAGTTCTTTAATTTTTCAAATTACATAAATTTCACATATATTATTAATTTATATTATATTAAATATTAATAATTGTTTTCAGCTCAGTTACTTAACTGAAAAATTAGTACAAATTACCAGCACTGATGGCTTGCTGGCTCCACCCCAGATCATGTACAAACTTTAAAGATGCGCTAAGAATCTTTGACTTGATATTTTTTTCATAGTCCTCGTCGCTTTCCTTGTTCTGATGTGATTGCTGTGCGGTACCATTTTCGGTTTGCTCTGCGAGCAGTGCCCTACAAGTCCATAAACTTCTAAAACCTATTAAAACGAAAATTATAAATTCAGTCTTTTCTTACTTCTCAAAACTTTTCAAATATTCATTGATCGCAATTCGTAGGATTTTTATAAAACTATTGGACATGACAAAAATATATATGAAAGATAAATGACTTTATTTCACAAAAAAAAGTACATTGTTATTTTGATGTTACAGCATAATTGTTAGTTTTGGTGAACGAAGTTTCACAAATACATTCATTGACCCTAATTAAAATGCTTTCCATTACATCGAGACCATTTACTGCCTTATGACAAAATAAAATCTTTTCCGATACTGGCAATGGAGGTAATTTTTCTCCACCCACAATCAATGCTATTTCAGCATCATATTTTTCTAATCCCATATCATTTGCTCCAATAATTTTCTTCTGTTGTTCTAAATCCTTTATTTTCACCTTCCAGTGTGCTCTACATAAATCTATCGCATCTCTCAAAGGTCTTAGAAAATCGCTTGTAAGTGTATTTATCACATTCCAAATTCCAGTTTGATTATATTTATCTCTAAGAAGTAGAAATCTTAAAAGATTCAAGCTACTAATTATTTCATCAGATATTTCTACTAAATCTGTTGCGCTACCATGTGATAACTTGCAAGCCAATTTCAATAAAGTTTCCAAATTATTACCAAGAAAGTAGGGTATAGGAGGCGTTGTTTCGAGACATTCGATAATAGAATCTTTAAGCATACTAGTCGTTAAACTAATTAAACCTGAATGTTCGCTGGTATGATATAAACGCCTAATAACAAGATATCTAGCTTGCATATCAAACATTTCAACGTATTTCTGAAATAATGCTAAAGCCTTTTTACGTTCTTTGTTACTATCACAATAAATCATCACCTGCACCAGCGTATCGAACAGTTCCGAATAAATATTTAGCTCTAGCATTTCCGATATTAAACACTGCTTTGGTAATCTATTCAAAAGGTGATCCATAAGATCCAATCCTTTTTTAACGGTAACGATTTCTTTTTCTTGAAGCAATTTAATAGTAAGATATGTACACGTTTCAAAAATGTATTGCCAATTGTATATTTTTGGTGCTTTCTCCCATAAATGCGATTTTGTTAAAATATAAAAATAAAAATTAGCATATGCTAAATCCGATGTGTTTTCATCCGATTCAAAGAGGATCCTTTTAATGTTATAATTTTCTTCATCTATATTTTCATTCATAGCTTTCTTTTTCGATTTTCTTCGTTTACTTCTTATGCTCACAATATTTAAAAACTGAAGTAAATCTCCTGTAATTGGATCCATCAGCATTATAATCGCCTCTGGTAAAGGCTGATCCAATCGAGATTCTGATACGTGATCTTGCAAATAACATAGCGGTTCTCCCATTAAACAAATGAGAAGACTTAAAAGAAGATCCCTTAATTCAACATAATTTTCTGAATTTGCATTCTTCAATGCTGCTTTTTGTACCATTAGCTCGAGAAACAATATAATCGCATTGTAAACTTTTAATACTCTATTCGTTACAGTTGTTACCTCTTGGGTTTCTTTCTGAATTTTTGCTAGATCCTCGATGTAACACCTTATTACATTGATACACCAGCGATTCATTTTATCTTTCACTTTTAAAATATTCTTACCGATTACTTCTATAATTGTACAAAATTTTATATCAGTTTCCATTTCTTCTAAGAATCTAGGCAATGTGTCGGAAAGATCGCATTTCTCTGCCACAGTGTTTAGTATCATTTTACAACAGTCGAATCTTTCTCTATATTTTCTTTCATTTTTATTAGTAATATAAGACGATGTAACCAGTATAAGTGACCATGAATAATCTACAATATCCTCATCGCTAATGCCTTTAAATAAGTCTAATGCTTCTTTAATTTCGTTTCTCTTCAGGTAATCTTTCAAATCCTGATAAAAGTCATGTGTCATCTTGTTCTTATTCCCCGAAAGTTCCGATGCTTTTTAATCAAATAATATACGAAATCGTTATTAATTCCCTCTGTGCAGGTTCTTTTTCACAAATATCATTCAATACAACAAAGACGTAACCTAATTCGTCGGACTGATTGGTATATTAGTCTTTACAATAACATTGTGAACTGTCACGGTTTCCGCACTCGATTCGGTCGGAGATTAGCAAACATAGGAAACCATGGTACTAAATCAATTCCTGAAGGAATATTGTCCCGAATCGAAACGTTACGGGATTCCCAAAATTTGTGATAACATCATATTTCGTCACATGTATACTTGGTATTCTATTTGTGATTGTGGTTGACAAGACGGCTACGAAGAAGAAATTGCGCAAACGGGTGCAATCATGTTACATTTCGCAACAACTTCTTCACGGATGGAATAATTGATTTTACAAAATTATAACAATACAAACGTCAGGGCCAAAATTGATGCGTGCACGAATCGACGTTGGTATATGATTATCAATAAAAAAAAAATTTCGCTTACCATTTACGGAAAAACCCTTCCGCATTAATAAAATGCTAGACATAGCCATATCAACAGTTTTTAATAAACTACTTGTCGCACATTTATGCCTGTACGATGAAACAGCGATTATTATTATTTCACTTGTAAGATTCCGCTTCTACGTGTACTTTGTGAACTGTGCTTTAATGTCGCAGACAGTTGTGGGATTGCCTTAATAGCGAAGCCATTTTATGCAGCGACAAAACGGTGAAACTATTTAGCCGACGTGCTTTCAATTTCCCCCGCTAGATGGCGGCACGTACGCGTTCCGTTAAAAATCTCGAAACAGCGCCACTCCGCGTAGCGGCGAAACGCTGAAATTGGTAGGTAAAATTTCCAACAGCAGATTTTAGCTGGTTAATAGCTTAAGCGTTTTGCCGCTGCATGGCAATAGCGCTGTACGAAGGCTCGAGTGCCGTAAATATGGCGGAAGCGGCAAGAATCATTTCTGATTAGACGCGTACATGTTTCGATAATTTGTAATTAATAACGAGGAACAAATTCTTGAATCGTCAAGAGCCTAAATTTAAGCTGGAGAATCGCGCTTAATGACAGCCGTATTTCGTTTTGTAGAGAAATATGAAAGCACTTCGAAATGTCGATCAATTTCGACCGATAGAACGGGTTCGTCGGAGCAAATTTGAATATAATTTCTGAACTATTCAGAATATCATACATAATATCATATATAATATACAATATACAATATATATTATATATAATAATGATTATAATATATTTATATTATAATTATATATAATATACATATAATAATAATTATATATATATTTATATTATAATTATATATAATATACATATAATATATAATAATAATAATAATAATATAATACATATATAATATACAATATACAATATATATTATTTATCCTGCGGATCGCAGTATAAAAATTTAAATCAATTAATTAATATAAATACAATGATAATTAATTTTAATAATAATAATTTTTTTTAATAATAATTAAATTTATTGTTATTTTTAAATCGATCGAGCTCAAATTTCGCACGGATTATTTTCCGACGAATTGGCAGCATTTCGGAGGAAAATAATTTTTCGACGAATTTTCGTCACGAGCAAATGGAAAAAAAAGGTGCACAGTGCGATTCGACGTATCGCGGCTCTGCGATTCGAACGAGCGTGTTCCCGTGCGTCGGTGTCGCAATGTGGGATATCCCCACCAGAAAGTAAAACGTCGGAGGAGTCGGAACTGTCGGCGCGGTTCGCCTCCACCTGACGGCTACACCAGTCGCGATTTCAAATTATCCGGGACGAGAGGTGTCGCGAACAATTTTTCTCTCCTTGTCGTCGCGTGTTGTCCAGGACGCACGGCGATGTGTTCCCGCGATGCGTTGCTGCTGCTTTGCTCGTTCCTGGTGCTCGCCGGTCACCGATGCGAGGAAAACGCCACCGCTGCCGTCGCCACGGAGGAAAACGCGCTGGCAAGATTGGTGAAGATGTTCTCGAAGCCGGGAGCTTTCAAACGAGTGAGGACTCGAGCGCCAATAAGTACCCGTTCGAAATCTCCTATCTATTCGGAACTTTGTTAACAATTTAAGAAAAGAAAAACAAATACAATTCGGTTCCGCCGATCCTTCGCGCCGCGTTCTAATAATTATAACGAAAATCAATTTTACGAGCAGTTAATCGATTACTTATTATCAAGACCTCGGGGACAAAAAAATATATATATATTTTATATAATATATAATATATATATAATATAATAATATAATATAATATTATAATATATATATATTATTAATATATATTAATAATATAATATTATAATATATATATATTATTAATATATATTAATAATAATATATTAATAATATATATATATATTAATATATATTAATTATACATATAATTATAATAATATATATTATATTATTATATTTATCTATAATATATATTGTATATTTAATATATTTATATTATATATAATATTTAAAATTTCGCACGGATTATTTTTCGACGAATTC